AATAGAATTTCTCAGAATTGTACTAGTTGAATGATTAATTGATTAGTTGTTTAAAATTTTTTCAAATCGACTAGTTGAAAAGTTGGCAACTAGTTGGTTTTTTAACTAATGATTTGGAACACTATAATACATTTGCTAGAAATGTACAAACTTAATAATCTAATTCTTAGTTCATAAATATATTTAACTGTTGACCAAATTGTTATTTCACGTTAAAATTGGTATTTTATATTCAAGTAGTACAATAAAATATTGTCAAATATATGCATAAACTTACGTCAGGTAATTAGATGTTCTGCGAATATTGTCACGGGATCGGTGAACCGAGCACAGATTACAATTTTTTGCAATAAACAGTGCTGTTTCTGAAATGAAAAATATGTACTCAGGAAATTTGGATGCATTAAATAGGCTCCAGAAAATTTAAACACAAGTTAGTAATTTTATCAGATTATGTCTTCCAAGATATATCATTTGATGAATAGTACCTTTCTAATATTGGATTTTCGAATTTGTAGAGGTTTTAGTCAAGGGGAAAGCCTGCTAACCTATTATTATAGATTCAACTCTATAAGAAATAGTAGTAATTCTGAGTGTTTATTAGTCTGCTAGTACCGGGACTTCAACGCCTGCAGACGCATGAGGGCACTCTGGCTTTAGTCTTACAAATTTTAAAATTCATATGCAGAAAAATAGTGAGGCATGGATCTGTAGGCCACAGAGAAATTGCAACCCCATTATATATTACTCTGATGATACAAGCTTGTGATAGAAAGTATATTTATGAGTATTGAAAAATCTAATATATATCTGGTTTTGCACCAGTTTGACGATGCCTTCGAAAGTATTCGTAGTGTTTATAAAATAAGAATAGAAAGAACTTCTCTTACTGACCGAGAAGTCAGTTGTAATATAGCTGATTTAAAAAAACAACTTGAGGTAAATATAGAAATGCATAAATTACTACTTTTATTTTGTGGTAAATGCATGCTTTGCTAATACCTGATATTTTTAATAATTTTAAGGCATGTTCTTCTCTATTTGCTAAAGAATTACAAATAAAGCTGAACAACTTACCCAAATCAGATTTAATATAGGAGAATCCACTAGCTAGTAAAGTAATCAGTGATGAATCTAACTTAGTTAAAAAATTAAACTAGGGACCCAAACAGTCTTTTATGAAATTCAAACAGTGAATGCAAGTTCAAATACCTTCCAATATACAAAATATATATAATAATTTTGCTAAAAATTTTCATAATGATAACGTAGAAGCTTTACCACTGAAGCTTTCTCATAATAGTACATGGAAGAAAAAAGAGCAGGTGTTATCAGATATTACTGAAGAAATTCTCTATTCCTTAGGTGATATTTGGCGAAATCCTGCTTTTGACGCAGAGTTTGCAGAAGGTCAAAATGAAGATATATATATAACAGATGTAATAATACCTCTTATTCGAAATGCATTAAAAAAACTTCTGACCAAGAAACATGCTTTTCTCAGCACGTAAGTTTGATAAAAATTTTATTTATTAAAATAAACAAGCAACTAATTTATATATTTTTTTTATTATTTCAGGGCTAAAAGACAAAGCTTAGCCAGTGCTAGTAAAAGATCAGTTGATGGAAAACAGGGTAAACATCCTGATATTATGCTTATAGAAAAGCAACATAAGAAGCTACATGAACTTCTATTCGCTAAATGTTTTTGTCTGATTTGTAATGATAATAAGAAAAAGAGGATGAAGTAAAATTATGGTGAGAAATGAACAACAGAATGTATTATGTCCACAAAACTTGTAAGCCCGATAAAGATGA